TTCCAGATGGATATGCGGAGCAAATCCATCTGGCGGAGTCAGGTTACCTAAGCTTGGCATGAGCTCCATCATCATCATCATCACCAAAATATGCCCTAATTGTTGAGAGGTTTATTTTTCTTTACTGAATGATCCCCATCTTCTTTAGTAACTGTATAAGTAGTGATAATTGAAAGCAAGCTAGGATCCCATAATGTTATTCTAACAAATAAGTTTCTGAATATGCTGATGAAGATTCTCAGTCATCCAGGTCATAGTCATTACAAAAAAGTAAAAAAAAACAATCCAATTTGCAGTTTGAAGACGTTCCGCTTCCCATCCAGGAAACTTTTTCCAATTCAAAATTTCCATCTATGTCTTTAACGATCCCCCCTTCAGAGACATAGACAGGTATGGGGCATTGCAGGCTAACAAAGAAGCCAAACGACCCCCATTCCAAAGGGGGGGACCCGTTCATCCGTTCTTTTTGCATTTTTTCTCAACAAAAAAACAGGCTTTGTTGGGCTGCTGGATAAAACCTGGAACTAAACGCTATTTCTGACATTTTCAATTAAAAATCTTCCTGGATGGAAGAGAAACGTCTTCAAACTTGGAAACAAAGTCCAGTGGATTGATTTTATTTTATTTTTTTTTTGAGTTTCTAAATGTGACAGAGAACTTTTGCCACTTTTCCGCTATCCATCTTTTAACTTTCAGGACTTTGTTTTTAAAACTATTTTTAAGAAACAAGTGTTTTCTTTGCTTCTCTTGTTAAAAAAAAAGCTTTTGCCCTAAAAATCTTCGCCTCGCCGTTCTTGCAGTTCCACTTCCAAACACCAGTAGTCAGTGTTGAGTAATATCTATGCTGGCGGTAACTGCTTCCTTTTGAACTAAACTATTTATTTTTAACTGAAAGTTCATCTTTAAAAGAACATATCTTTATTTTCATGGTATTACCGTGTTAATACATACATATATACTTTTTTGAATTAAATCTAAATATTGATATAAAAAATATACATTGAAAGTTTTCTGTAAATAATATAAAAAGATCTAATGCTCTAATTTTTCCTGTCCCATTCTGACCTTTGACCTCCAGGATGTTCTGATCCGTCGTTTCTATGGTTACCACTCTGGTTCTTTGGTGTTTCCATCTAGAACAGTTTATATTGATCTTGTTTTTGGTGTAGTGGTGGTTTAGTTGAGCTCTGAGCTAACGTTTGCATCACTTTCATCAAAGCTTATCTAATCTATAAATGCCTGATTGGATCAGCACTAATTGAGATAAATATAATGTTGAGGTAAAAAGGCGATGGTGATTGGCCTTCTGTGTGCTTCAAAATATGTGCACTGCAAACACAATATAGAAATAAGTTTAAAAAAATCTGAAATTAGGTGTATTTACGCTTAATTTAAGTAGGTAAATAAGATAATTTGCCAATAGAATGAGTATTTTTACTCTTATTTCAAGCCCATATTATCCAATTAACTTAATTTAAGACAATGTTGTTTTTCTTCTTATTTTAAATGTAAATTGTCTTGTTCCGTTGGTAAAGTGTCTCACTTACCTCCTCAATTTAGGAAAAATTCTCTTATTTTAAGAAAAAAAAACTTATTTAGATTGATTTTTTTGCAGTATATGCACTGCAAAAATAGAAATCTCAATACCGGTAAGTTATTTTTTTCTTAAAATAAGTGCATTTTTCCTTGAATTGAGGAGGTAAGTGAGACACTGTGCCAATGTAACAAGACGATGTCCTTCTAAAATAAGAAAAAACAATGTTATTGTCTTATTTCAAGTGCATATTATCTAACTATCTTATTTTAAGAGTAAAAATACTCATTCCATTGGCAGATCATCTTATTTACCTGCTCAAATTAAGGGTAAATATACTTAATTTAAGAATTTTTTTTACTTATTTCTGGATAGTTTTTGCAGTGTGTAAGAAGCAGCAAAGTCAGGCACTTGCACTGGAAAAACGATCTAGAAATAAGTAAAAATGTCTTAAATTAAGTGTATTTACCCTTAATTTGAGTAGGTAAATGAGATAGTTTGCTAATAAATTGAGTATTTTTACTCTTAAAATAAGATAATTAGGTAAAATGCACTTGATATAAGACAATGCAATTGGTGTTCCTTATTTTAAATATAAATTGTCTTGTTCCATTGGCAAAGTGTCTCTTTTACCTCCCCAATCCAAGAACAAATACACATCTAGATTTCGATTTTTTTCCAGTGAGAGATGAAGACCAAATGATCAAATGAGCTTCTCTCTTAATTTGCTGGAAAACGAACCAACAGGCGTCGTTTGGCTCACAGCCACGGTTCCCATGCTTCTGCCGTTTTGAGGACAAGTGAAGTGAAGTGTGACAGAAATGATGAGCAGCGTATTGTGCGGCTGACCTGCAAAGGCCGATGACCTGTTTTTCAGTGAGGCACCAACAAACCAGATCCAGAGGGTTCTTCTACGAGAGGCGGTGACAGCATGTTTGAAACCTCAGCGGCCGTAGGAGGATCTGAGGAGGGAGACGTGTTTAGTGTCACGGCTGATGCTGAACTGCGCTTGTCTGGCCTATTTCACTCTCTGTCAGGCTGGTTATATAAGCTGCTCCACACCAGCGTTCAGAAACCTTCAAACTTGTCCACATTTTGTCACATTACAACATTAAACCAGTTTTACAGAGATTTTATGCGGAGAGCATAACTGGGAATTTAGTTTGTTTTTTATTTATGGAAAAGCAGAGTGTTGTAGACGTTTATCTCGGTATAAATCCAGCTGTGAAGGTTTTAGAGGTTTGTTAGAAAACTTTAAAGATAAAGACGACATCAAGGAAGAAAGCAGACAGATCAGGAAGAGATAAGAGAAGAAAGGTTGGAGAAGAAATTCCTGCAAATTTTAACGACACAGTGATCTGTTTTCATCTGCTTATTTAAAGACATTTTTACTTCTTTCTAGATCTTTTTGCAGTGCAGGACGGTCCCTCTGGAGGACTGGAGTCAAGCCCCCCAGTCTAAGATTAGAACTGTTTGATGAATTTCCGACCCTGTCTTCCTCCAACCACAGCTGGAACATCTGCTTGTTTTTGTGTCTTCTTGCAGGCGGATATAACGAAGTGCGTGGTGAACACCAGCCCCCCCTTCTACTCCCACTGGTTGGTGTCTGCCGTCTTTGCCTTCGGACACTACCTGAAAGCTGTGGTGTTGTACCTCCTCAGGGAGAAGTGAAAGACTGAGTCACACTCTGGGTCTTCCAGCACGGTGTGCCATATCAGCCCCACAGGAGGATCCACTGGATGGGATAATGTTTACACTCTTCTGCACTGAGCCTCAGTCGACGGTCGCCTGACCTCGGCCGGCTTCGGCCCGTCTATTTATTGTTAGCTCTGCCTGCATTATGGCACACTGCTTTTAGAGTTTACACCATCACACCTCGCACTGTGTGTATTCCTCTATAGGGGACTTGATCTCCCCCTTGTGGCCATCAAGGGTAAATGCTTCACATTTATATATATTTTTTTAAATTCACACTTCATCATGGTGTCACTTCTTCATGAGATTACTCTCACTTTTCAGGCTTGATTTAGTCATTTCACAAGAGTGTGCAGAACTTTACTAGTGAGCTTTTTCTGTATTTATAGGATTTGAAGGAAAGCGGTTAGCAGTTGTTCTGAAATAAATGCCATAGAGCACAAAGATCAACGTCTTGTAAAAGTATCGTCATGTTACATCCATGCACTGTGAGGTATTTTTACTGATCCGGTAGAGCAGGAAAATAACACGTGGGGTTTAGATTTTAATGTAGAAGTTTAAAAAAAGACATTCTGAAAAGTTTGACTTTGTTTTTGTTTTTTTTCCAAACCCTAGAAGGAATATGTTGCAGAACTTCACCTTCCTGCAAAAACCGCTCATTTTATAGCTTCTAATATTTTATATATCTAAAGCTGCTTCAAGTGTCCCAATAACTATAAGGGACTCTATTGACTAAATAGGAGAGTTATGAAAGATCAAAATCTAAATGAGTCATTTTTGCTTAAATTAAGTGCATTTTTTCTTGAATCGAAGAGGTAAATGAGACACTTTGTCAATTGAACAAGACAATTTACATTTAAAATAAGAAAAAAACAATAGCTTTGTCTTATTTCAAGTGAATATTATCTAATTATCTTGTTTTAGGAATAAAAAACACCCATTCCTTTGGCAAATCATCTTTTTTATCAGCTAAAATTAGGGGTAAATAGGCTCAATTTAAGAATTTCTTTTACTTAATTCTAGATAGTTTTTTGCAGTGAAAAGATCAAAATCTAGATAAGTCATTTTTTTCTTAAAATAAGTGCATTTGTTCTTGAATTGAGGAGGTAAAAGAGACATTTTGCCACTGGAACAAAATAATTTACATTTAAAATAAGAAAAGGCAATTGCATTGTCTGATTTCAAGTGCATTTTATCTCAATATCTTACTTTAACAGTAAAAATATTCATTCCATTAGCAAATCGTCTCATTTACCTACTCAAATTAAGGGAAAATACACTTAATTAAAGAAAATTTCACTTATTTTTCAGATTTCTATTTTCTCATTTATAAACCATGTATTATTTTCCTGCTAATTCAATTCTATTCAGTTTATTTCTATAGCTCCAATTCACATCATGTCATCTAAAGGCACTTTCCAGTTCACCAGATCATCCAGTCAGATTGATTCAAAGTTTTCTATCTAAGGAAAACCAGCTGATTGCATCGACTCATTGACTCTTCAGCAATCCCTCACACTAAGCATGCTTGTAGCGACAGTGGAGAGGAAAAACTCCCTTTGAACAGGAAGAAACCTCCAGCAGAACCAGGCTCAGTGAGAGCGGCCATCTGCTGAGGCCCACTGGGGTTCAAGGAGACAGAAGCAGACATAGAAAAAGAAGCATAGATACAAAAGGCAACTGTCAACCAGCTCCACAGGCGGCCCCATCCAGGAAACACACAGCCAGCTAATTCATAAACCTGATTGATTTTATGTTGATCTATTGCATAAAACCATAATTAAATACTTTGATGTTTGTGGACGACAGAAAGTCGAAGAGGATTAAATACTTTAACGAGGCTCTGTTTACCGTATTCGCTGGCAGCGTTTTCCCAAGAAGGGAAATTTCACATCACATACCGTACCCTGCCCTTTTTTGTCTGTTTTCTCTTTCAATCGAGAACAAAGAAATCTTTAAGAATCATTAGAGATTGAGCGCTTTTCTTTCTAAAAAAAGCTTCATGTTGTGTTCCCAATGCCATACTCCATGCAGGCTTTCCTCTCTTGCTATGGTTAACGCTGAGGCTGTCCTGTTGCTGCACTTTAAAGGATCCATTATAAGTTGTGGTGTGTTGTCTACGAGCACAATGATGTAGATTTTATTCCATGAATAATTTCACTGCTGTGTGTTGCATTAAGCTGCCTGAATAAAGTACGTATTTGTCATTCAATGCAACTATAATAAAAGCTTGAAAAACAGCCGTTCTGTCGGTGCAAGTGTTCTGATCTATTTTCTGTTAATGGTTTAAGATACAGAATAACCAAAGGCAGTTCTAGACAGGGGCCCGCTTCAATTGGCCCCCGTTATGGCCCCTTTACTGAAAGCGTAATATTATCACACTGGAAAAAAAGGAAAACCAAAAAAAGCCATTTTTTTCTTAAAATAAGCGCATTTGTTCTTGGATTGAGGAAGTAAGAGACATTTTGCCAATGGAATGAGACAATTTACACTTAAAATAAGAAAACACAATTGCATTGCTTTATTTTAAGTGCATATTATCTAATTGTCTGTTTTTAAAAGTAAAAATGCTCATTCCATTGGCAAACTATCTCATTTACTTACTGAAATTAAGGACAAATACATTTAATTTAAGACATTTTTACTTGTTTCTAGGGTATTTTTCCAGTGCAGTCAATGTTTCTTGAAAAAGGTGTATTTCCCTTGTTTTGAGCAGGAACGTAGGAAAATATACAACTGAAATAAGTTGATTTAAATAAAAAAATGCATCTCCATTGTCTACATACACGTGTGTGTGCGTGTATATATATATATACGGTATATATATATATATATATATATATATATATATGCAAATTTTTTTTTTTTTTTTTTTTTTTGTATTTTTGTTCTATGCACCGATGAACACCCGTCCCAACCTGGCCCCCCTGGTAAATTTAGTCTAGAACCTTCAGATGACCATACAGTTTTTCATGAATACTCTAATTAAGTGAGACAGTTTCTTTTATAATCTGTTCAGTAAGGTGTTTCTGTGTCCTGTAGGTATTTTCTTACCTTCTGATAGACTGGAATTTTTTTGTTACATAAAATAAAAATGTTTTTTTAATCTGCACACAGTTTTTGTGACAAATCATGTCTTTTATAGAAGCAGGGAGTGTTTAAATCCCACTGCTATGACACCTACAAAGTGACAGCAGTCTAATAATGTAATAACTTTCATATGACACGAGTAACCGCTCATTACTGTACATTTACTAACCGTTAGAGGGCGCTAGTGGGCTTTACTTTAGAGAAACACCCCATTGTGTTCTGCAGAGACAGCTGACTTACCCTGCTAGTTCCTATTGGCGGTTGGACGAAATGTCCCGCCCCCTTTCTGAATTCCGCAGTGGTTCTCTCCTCCCATTGGTCCAACTAGTCGGAGTGCAGAGAACAACAAACAAGATAGGGTGAAGATCATCGGGATGGATGCAGGTAGGCATTATTTTCTGGAAAACAGTGGATTTTTTTGTCCCGCTAAGAGCCTAAAATAAAAACAGAAGTGTTCCAAGTATCACCATTAAATACATGAGTATTTTCCTCTTTGTTCAGCTCATTACTGACAGAGCTATATAAGATATTATGCTTTGTAGCCTCGTTAGCCAGCTAAAGTGATGACTAAAGCTAACTGAGGTTAGCCTACCTTCATCGGTAAATTAGCCGTAAATCTTCGCTTTCACAGCCTTCTCCGTCGCTTCATAAACCCACGTCTCGATGCCGGATTGTCTGCCGTCACATTATCATGTGTTTCTGGAAAGTTTTCTTAATAAGTTTCTCTTTTTGCCTTTATTTTGGCTCCTGCGTTACGCCCAAACCAGCATCTGCTGGATTCTCCATCAGCTGTTCAGTCTCAGCTAAATCATTAAAACTCTTCTCATCGCTTTATTTACCAAATAAATCCTTCTAAACTTCATAGAAGTTTAGTTTAAATAATAAAAAGAAAAGTTAGGACGTGTTTTCTGGCATCCCTGTTAAATATAGACTAATCAGCATTTTAATGATATTACTCAGCAGTGTTCATGATTTCACTCATAAATCTACTACAGTTTCATAAAATAGATATTTTATTAGAAAAGTCCTTAAAATTTTGGGTTTTTTTAGGTTGATGACATCCCAAAAAAGATCAAATAGGCCTTCCTGCAGAAACACTTTAAATATATTTGAAACCAGGGTGTAACTTTGTCATGAAAGTTGTTGTTGTCTTTCATTAGACTAATTCTCCAAAAATGAGCTCAAACATCTATTTATTGAATGCTTTCCTATTATGGAGAACACAGGATAACATAATAAAATTATATTTATATTTATAGAGAGATTCCTTTTAGTACATTACATATATAGGGCCCAAAAACATTAATAGATTAAATAAATAATGAATAATAGTCGATTCCGATGCAAAATTTATTTATCATGCATCCCTAGAAGTACAATTTCAATTCCATCCATCCATAAATTTATGGATATGCTGCATTTTAAATATAGCATATTTTCTTCTTGTAAACTTTCTGGTAATCTTGGAGATATATTTCATTGCATTTCCCAGTAAATCTGTTTCCCCTTTAAACCTGCAGTTCTCCCTACTTTGTGCTCTTTTTAAAAAGATTTATGAACCTCTTTGCTAATTGAATGATGCCAGAAACAAAATGTAAAGATATGTAGAAGCTCTGCAGTCTGATTCTGTCTGTTCAATAAGAAAACATGTTCATTTTAAGCTGTAACTGGGAGTCATGCTCCTCTGAGAAGCTTTTTTTAACCAGTAAAGAAGAACAAACTATTTTTTTTCTTAAGCTTCTTGCATTATATTACTAACTTGTATAAACTTAGAATTTGTTGCCATTTTTAGCTGGAAAAGCTCCGTATGTCAAACAAACAGATTTTTCAGTCGTATGATCTCTAATTTTTTAACCAACCCGTCTCCTAACTTTTACTTAAACATCAAAGTAGCTGCTGGTTAATATTCACTGAGCGCTGCTGTGTCTCTCCTCCCCCACGCAGCTATTTTGTGCTTCAGTGAAATGCGACCGATGCGACAGATTTTTGTCGTCGTCTCTCGTGAAAACTGATCAAACTGAAATGTTGGTTGACTAATAAATTAGGAGAATGTTTCAGGGGAAGGAGCTTGTTTTGTTTAAATTTATGTACATTTTAGGGATGGGTTATCAATAAAATCAGTTCATAAATGTTTCTGTTTATGGAAATTTAATTTTCCACCAGTGGAACTTTTGGGCTCCATAGCTCAGAGTGACATTAGATCATCACCTTTTGTTATTAGATGTGTATTTATAGCTAATAAATAAATAAATAACTATAAATTTTAAACACCACTGGCTGCAAACATTTATATTTGTTTCTTGTGAAACATTTTTAGATACAAATTTTCACAGCTTCCCCTCTTAAGGGGAAGATTGAAATAAAAGCAATTTTTTTTATAAAGTAATATATGTTATTTGTCATTTTAATATGCAACTCAAAGGATTAAAAAATTACCAAATTACATCTGGTAGGAGAAAAAAAATGCAGATTACATTTTTAAGCCCTAACACATTTATACATTTAATTCATTTCAGTTTATTTATATAGTC